TTTTAAGAGACGGGGTTTCACCATGTTGGCCAGGCTGGTCTCAAACTCCTGACCTCAGGCGATCTGCCCGACTTGGCCTCCCGAAGTGCTGCTTTTGCAGACAGGAGCTACTGTGCCCAGCCTAGTCTCACATTTTATAGGCTCCCAAACCACAGCAGAACATCTGGCTGCCTCTTCTCTCCGCACCCATCGCGCCAGTGGGTGTGCTGGCTGTAGGTGGGGGTGGCTGTGCCCGGGTTCCTGGGAGCACCTGGTGATTCAGGGTTACCTACCCTCAACCACCTGATCCTGGGGCCTCTGCAGGTTTCCTGGCGTTGTCACAAAGGGAGGAAGCGCACCTGTGGCTGGCTGGTCACGTGGTCAGAGCCAAGGCAGGCAGGGCCTCCCGTCTGGCTTCTTGAAGGCAGGCACAAGTCTGCAGGCTGCTCAGGTCCCCATCTCATCATCTGTTCTCAAGGGGACCTCCTCTAACACAATCACAGCATCCCTGGCCTTAGCCCCGCCCTGTCTTCCCGTAGTGTCCCTGTCCTCCTCCCCCCTCCCATCCCCCCCGCCCCGTGCAACTTCACAACTCAGCTGGGAGGCCTCCAAGTCCCCAGGGCTCACACACCTCCTGGGGTGCTATGGACTGACCTGGCTCCAAGGTGTAGAGTGTGTGGGAAACTCACCGTGGGAGGTGCTCCTGCCCTGCAGGAGCCAGAAGGCTGTGGGAGGGCCCTGACCCCAAGGGCCTAAGGAGCTCCCTAGGCTCCTCTGGCCACACCTCACCACACACCCTCTCCTTTCTCCAGCGGTTCCAGTTTGTGGAAATTCCAGGCAATCACTATGTCCACATGAGCGAACCCCAGCACGTGGCCAGTATCATCAGCTCCTTCTTACAGCACAAACACATGCTCACAGCCTAGCTGTAGCTCTGGGCCTGGAACTATGACGACCTCGCGCTGCCAGACTCAACACTGGGAATGTGAGTTCCCGAGCCCCCCAACAACGCCAGGCCTGTGGGGACAACAGATCAGACTGTTACTATGTCTATGTAGAAAGAAGTAGACATAAGAGACTGCATCTTGTCTGTACTGAGAGAAATTCTTCTGCCTTGAGATGCTGTTAATCTGTAACCCTAGCCCCAACCCTGTGCTTGCAGAGACATGTGCTGTGTTGACTCAAGGTTTAATGGATTTAGGGCTATGCAGAATGTGCTTTGTTAAAAAAGAGCTTGAAGGCAGTATGCTTGTTAAAAGTCACCACCATTCTCTAATCTCAAGTACCCAGGGACACAATACACTCCGGAAAGCGGCAGGGACCTCTGCCTAGGAAAGCCAGGTACTGTCCAAGGTTTCTCCCCATGTGATAGCCTGAGCTATGGCCTCCTGGGAAGGGAAAGCCCTGCCCCTCCCTCAGTCCCACACCCCCGTAAAGCGTCTGTGCTGAGGAGGATTAGTGAAAGAGGAAGGCCTCTTTGCAGTTAAGAGGAAGGCAGCTATCTCCTGCTCATCCCTGGGAATAGAATAGAATATCTCTGTGTAAAACCCAATTGTATGGTCCATTTACTGAGATAGGAGGAAACCACCTTACAGCTGGAGGTGAGAAATGCTGGTTGCAATACTGCTCTTTAATGCACGCCTATATGTTAGTATACGTGCACATCAAGGCACAGCACCTTTCCTTAACCTTATGACACAGAGACCTTTGTTCACACGTTTTTGTGCTGACGCTCCCCCCACTATTACCCTAGGGGCAATGGTAAAGATAATGATCAATAAATACTGAGGGAACTAAGAGAGCTGTGGGTCCTCGTATGCTGAGCCTGAGCACCGGTCCCCTGCGCCCACTTTTCTTTATACTTTGTCTCTCACTCTCTCGAGAAATGCCCACAGGTGTGGTAGGGACAGGCCTTACTGGTCTTGAAGCCCAGCCTAGGGTGTAGTCAGGGGAAGGAGTGAGACTCCAACTTCAACATCTGTGACCTCAAGCGGGAGACAGAGTCTGCGTTTGGGGGGCTGCTGTCTCCTGGCTAATAATCTCCAGCCAGCTGCAGGGAGGAAGGGCTGGAGCCACCTAGCCTTTCCCTGCTGCCCAACTGGGTGGAAAATAAAAGCTTCTCGCGTTCTCACTGCTTTCGAGGCTGTTTCGTTGCCAGCAAGGGCTTTTCCATTAAAGGAAAAGGGAAAACAGCGGATTCAGGCAGGGTCCTTGACGGGAGGGTGTGGAGGTGGAAGGGGCAAGTCCTCCTCTGGACACGCCCAGGTCCCCAGGACTGCTGAAGCCCAAGACCCGAGGGGTGGCCTGGCCCTTACTCCTGGCCTGTGTGGACTCTCATGGGGCTGGTGGACGTGGTGGCCTCAACCTGGGGCCCCGGTTTTCCCAGACTCAAGCCTCTCGGAGGAGGGCTGCCAGGCCTGCTCGCCTCTTCCTCCAGGGCCCCCGACCTCTCAGCCATCCACGTGCGCTCCTCCGCCGGCTCAAGTAGGGTCGACATTGCGCTGGCCCGCAGGCAGCTCGATCCTCTGTTGTCCTCCTCGGAACTTCTTGCCGGCAGCTCGCTAGATCTGAGGGGCGAAGAGGAGGGCTGGGCAGGGTGCAGACAGCCGCCCCCGGGCAGCCGGCGTTGCTCATGCCCACCCTCCTCCAGTTATTGGGGGCCAGAGGGAGTCGTGTCTCTCGCCCACCAACCCACGCCCACTTCCCAAGCTCTGCTTGGGGCAGGGTCTCTGGTCCTGTAAGAAACAGAACGACGGCAAGGCCGAGTCCTATAAGGGCAAAGCACAGCGGGAGGCGCTGGCCAACCCCCAGGCCTGGATGAAGCCCTAAGAAACAAAGCAAAGGCGCTTCGCCCCCACCCGACCCCTGCGCAAGGGAGGAAGGGAGGCGACCGCTCGGCCTGGAGCGACCCTGAAAACTCGGTAAAAGGGAAGCCACTCCTAGTGCTGGTGAATGCGATGGCCAACTCTGGCACCCGGGGTGGCCCAGGTCAGTGGGGCAGGCTGATGGCAACAGGCAGGGGAAGCTCGAGGGTCCTTAGAGCGAGCACATAGTGGAGCCGAGAGGGCCAGCGAGGCAGGGAAAGCACCCAGTGAACTTGCCACCTGACCACACCAACATAATGTACCGCCAACCACAGCACAACCCCTCATCCCACATACCAGCACACCCTAACCAAACACCACATATTCATGCAGCATCCCCCTGGCCACCACAAGTGGGTTTGGAGAGCGCCCTCTGACACCTCGAAACTCCGTTGCTGCTGGAGGCTGACGAGCGCCAGCAACTAGTGCAACAGGAGCCCAGAGTTGGGCAACGAATGACCCAGGGGGTCCCCACCCATTGAGGCCAAATGCATCTGCCCGGGGTGATGGGGACGGCCAACACCGGGGTTGCTGTCCAGGCCTGGGCCTCTTCCAGAGGCCTGTGGGAGCCCCTGTGCTTAGGAACGCCTCCCTCGCGACAGCCAGGTCTCAGCGCCGCGCGATGCCGAGAGCGCTCATCCATGGTTGGGGCAAGGGCCGAGGGCCTGAGGAGGGCTGGGCGTGGCTTAGCCTCCACTCTTGCCTCTCCCGGTGCTCGCCAGGCCATAGAAGTCTGAGCAGCTCCTTGTCGGGCTGCGGCTGGCCGTCTCCTCCCTCCTCAGAAACCCGGAGGCTTGGCCTGCTTCAATCGGGGGACACAGGCAGCCGGCCGGCCGGTCACCATCATAACTCTCATCACAGACCGTCCGTCCTTTGCCTCAAGCTTCCTTCTGCAGGG